GGGCGGCTCCGCGGCCTCTGCCCCGCCAGGCCCCGGGAGCCCTCCCGGAGGCCGACGCTTGGGACGGCCGGTCCCAGCCGCTTTGGGGGATAAGGAACCGCGCAAGGGGGGCGGCGGGCCGTCTTTTAAGGCCTCCCTCCCCCTGCTCAGGGAGGCGTCCAGCCTGCCGCTCCCGAGGGGCTGCCCGGGGGGCGCCGAGCGGTGAAGTGAGAGCTCGAGTTTTTAGCTGCGGGTGACTTCAGGCTGGGGCCTTCGAGGAAGGACCAGGGAGCTAGGCATCTGGATGCGGGTGAAATCCCGTATGGTTTGGCTGTCCCCTGCCTCGATGCTTGGGAAATCTCAGCCTCCCATGCTGGAGGAGGCTGAAAGAAAGGTCTTCTTTTTCTTTTTTTTTTTTCCTTCCCTACTGAGCACTCGCTAGACCTCCTCCAGGGTACCCATGGCCAGGTTTGGGGCCTCAGTATAGGAAAGACTTGGACAAGTTGGAGCAAGCTCAGCAGAGGCCCCAGAACTGATCAGGGCTGGAGACCTCCCGGCAAGGAGAGGCTGAAGGAGCGGGACTCGTGCGAGGGGGGACCTAACGGCACCCCCCAGGGCCTACCGGGGGGCTGTCGGTGAGGTGGAGCCAAGCTTTTCATAGCTGGGCACCATGGGAGGGTGACAGACAGCAGGGACAAGAGGATACGAGTGGACTGGGCTGGATTTAAGGACAGACGGTTTTGTCACTCACGGGAGACAGGCAGGCAGTTGGCCCAGATTGCCCAGAGATTGTGCTGTCTCTGCCTTCGGAGGTTTTCAAGACGCAGCTGGGTTAAACCTTGAGCAACCCGCTCTAAACTCAGAGCTGACGCTGCCCTGAGCAGGCGGCTGGACTGGGGTATTCCCACCTGAATCATCCTATGATCCCACAAGAGCTTTCAAAAAAACTGTGTTCCCTTTTTTCTTTCCTTTTTTTTTTTCCTAGCACGATTAGAAAATGAAGAGTAGTTGTCCTTTGTGTAACACTGGGGTTAGTTTCTTTTAATGGCTACGCTTAATTAATTGAGATTTGAGCAGTTAATAACAGGGAAATTTCACCTGCTGAAAGTCAGTAAGAGATTGGAGACTTTTATTGCAATGTATTCCAAATCTCTTTTTCACATACCATTTCAGATTTAAAAAAAAAAAAAATCAAAACAAAACACGTGGCTATTGTGGAACTATTAAGCAACTCTACCCTGAAACCAAGTTTACTGAAACTAAGCCTCTGTTTCCAGAAAGCTCAAATGCTCCATCTAACAGAAAACATGTAGCTTCCTGCCTTTCTGGGGGAGGTACCCTGGCAAAGTAAAGAAGTATCTTCTTCCCATTCTACAAAAGGAAGCACTGAAAGATACTAAGTAACTTCTTTTTTAGACCTGGTGATTCTGTAGGGAGGAGCTGGACTTGAGACAACTCTCTCCTGAATTTCAGGCTATCCCAAAGCTACTGTATTGTACTTCCCTCCCTGGGCCAGAGCTGACTTCTGGAAATGGCACGCAGAGGTTTGGATGGATGTGGCACAAGAGCCAGGGTTGGGATTCCTTGCCTTCTGGAATGGCGCTCCCAGAACTCTTGGAAATGAGCTTGGTTCTAAAAACAGGAAAAAATCACCTAGTAATAACTATTTTCCTAATGCTGAGGTCTTCTACATATGTGCAGGATCAGAGTGCTGCGATAATATTACAGACTCCAGCCCGAGCACATGTCAGAAATTAGGAGACAAGGCTTTCAGTAATAATAATGCCTCCACAGTATCACCACAGGGAGATAAAGCTTCTCCTGTTTTCTGCTCATTAAAAATGTTATTATGCTTAGACTATAATGAGTACAACATC